ACGAAGACTAAAGCGTGAATGACGCTCTGTGTACGATTTTCAGGCCCTATAAGTTCGTACACTTTTTAGTGTGGACCCGACGTCCATATAATTGTAAGTCAATGAAGATATGCATTGTAATTTTCACTGTCGTTTTAGAAAGTAACATCGAAAATTGAATGATTATAAGAATGAATGTCATCACTGCCTTTCTACTGGCACTCTATTGAGACTTAACTGTCATTATAACTTTTTTTTTACAATATCTAGTGACGGGACGAACAAGTCTTGCGCCTGATGGTAAGCTACACGCACTTCCATAACAGTTGCAGTGCCACTCAGAGCTTTAATTCGCAAAGATCTGAGGGGTACTGCCACTGCGCCTTAAGCGACATAAGTTGACAAGTCCCATGTGCCTGTAATTTCACCAGCACACTCATCCTTCAAAACCGGAACGCAGTAATGCTAACATTACTGCTTGGCGGCAGAAATAGTTAAGGTGGCAGTATTTCCTTGGATGAACTCTTTCACAAGAAGCTCTTCTGCTACATAGTGAATAAATAATAGGGTGAACCCATTGACTTACAATTATATGGACGTCGGGTCCGCGCTAAAAAGTGTCCGCACTTGTAAGGTGCTAAAATCGTATACAGAGCGCGACACTCCGCTTTAGTCTTCATTTGTTCTACTGACAGCGCGATACTGCGATGACATTACAATTTAAATTTCGAATAGGTTGACTTGGGACATTTTTTTTGTGGTTTTTGTATTAGACCCGTCGTCCATTTATTTGTAAGTCAATGGGTGAACCAAATTTATTACAGTTAATAATTTTAGATAACAATAAATTCACATTTATTGCTACATTTTTTTGCCTGTCCCTACTCTACTTTGAACGGAAGGTTATTTACCTTAACCAGTTCTTAGTCAGTCATTTGGACATATTTTTAACTCTCAGATTGATGATTTCCAATTTGGGATGTCTGTTTTTGCCAAATGATGTTGCAAAAAAGACAATTAAGCGGATGTGGTGGAATTCTCTGTTTCTGAGTACGTTAATTGTGGATTCATTGCGTAATCTTGGTGTCTGCAAGTTGATATTTCATCATCATCATCATCAATCCATTTATACATCCCACTGCTGCGTACGGGCGTCCTATTAGGCGCGGGTTTAGGCCATAGTTTGCCACATTGGCCCAATACATTTTGTGGACTTCACATGTTTTCCGAGGGTTGTGCACCTTCTTCGACGTGCAGGTTTAATTAATTTAAATTTCGCACATAAATTCCATAAAACTCAGCGATGCAATCTATGATGCGAACCCATGGCCTCTGCTATATATTAGGATAGCGACACTTGAGATCGCGAATATGAAAATATGTTTGTACATATTTGACACGAATCAGTTCTTGCTGCTGTTATTTGTTTTAATTACCTTTTTTCAAGCTTTTGATAATTTATTGGTATTTTTTATTGATAATTAAGATTAACAACAAATTGCCGTGTTGCATGCGTATTATGATGAATCAAAAGTTCGAGTGTTCCATGTGTACCGTTCCAGTACCGGGTTTTGCAGATTCACCATGTTATATGACACACCATGGATCCAGTAACCAACGTATAACAATTGAGATCTTGTGATAACAATTTATGTAATTTTGTATAAAATACCTTTGATTGCTCTAACATTAGCCGTCAGGTAATGTCCCGAGAGTATATTTTTTTTTAAATAATTGTGCATTGTTACCATAATCACAACCAAGGAAAGAGTTAAAATAAATGTAGTTTAACAACGAACGACTAACTACTTATTTTATATGGAACTAGTACTTGGAACTACATTTGGTAGCATCGAAACTTAGGCAAGAATTTTCTATAATTTAAAATAAGTTTTTAAATGGTTGTGTTCGTAATAATACGTTATTTACATCGACTGTACTTTAATAAATCATCCTTTTGTATTTTCGTCTTTGAGTCGTGGTATGTGGTGTTGCGGATCAAGTCGGCCGAAACAAGGAGAGCATGTACAGGTGGGAAGACCCTTTGTTGTCCGTGGTACTACCAGCAGAACTACTAGTACACGCACTACCAGCAGAACTACTAGTTACACGGGCAATAATAATCTCCCGTGTAACTACCGACAGGCCTAGTTGTATCACGGGTATTTGACGATGTTTCAATAAAAATAATTAATATTGATAATGGATCTGTCAAAAGTTCCAACATTGACATAGTGTTAATATTGCTATTTGTTTTTGTTTCTCATACTTCCTTGTAACTATTTTTATAATCCATTATCTATAAGTGTACCTACATCTGCATATGTTAGTTTTTAGTTCTTTGATTAAAATTAATATAACTTGTTTAAGTGTAATTGTAGTTGATCAAAAAATCTATATATATGTACTCTAACCTATTTTTAGCAAAGTTATATTTTACTTGTCTAATATTCATAATTAAGAGTTTAGTCTAATTTATTATAATCCGCGAAACGGGGATCCTGGTGACCTGTATTACAGGTATTTTTATGCCTATCTCAGGCACCAGTCTCTCGCAAATAAGGTTTAATATTAAACTCATTAGTCAGTAAGCATCTTTTGTTTAAACTATTCACCTTGTATGTTGAGAGAAAATAAAATAAATTATTATTATTATTATTATTATTGCCACTGGAAAAAGCAAATTTTTTTCTATCATAACATGTGTGCGCATGGCTTCACGAAGGTAATGAGTTCAATATACCTGCTAGAAGGTAATGCACCCTACATACCTGTTATAAACTACAGACAATAATAATAATAATTTGTCAGATAATCACAACAATTATATGGTCTCAAACACTGAGTATCAGAGTAATCAACTCGGAACGCGAAAGTTTGGTGTTGGTGTTTGGTGATTCATTACTCTGATATTCACAATATTTCCTTGTTTGAGATCATATAATAGGTGTGATTGTCTGGCAAATCATTATTATTATTGTCAGTAGTTTGCTTGCCACCAAAAACGTCAAGTTCAAGTCAAGTTGATATAATAATTTTAACTTTTTATTAAACAAACTGACCTCGGAAGTTTGCGGAATTACATATATTTGCCAAGTTTTCTTGATAGTGGGTGAAATCCAACAAAACGGATTCATATCCTAATTTGCCACCTCTAGAGGTGGAATATTTTCTACAAATTTGTATGGGACTACTAGTGAGATACTACTTTCCCAACAAAAAAAAAAAGAATCATCAAAATCGGTCCACAAATCGGAGTAATCACGTAAGTTAAACACAAAAAATACAGTCGAATTGGGATGGTTCCCAATTTTTTGAAGTTGGTTAAAAAAATTGTAGGTATTATGGACTTTACACGATCTTACCTCCAATGGTATTGGGTGGAAATTAAGTCGTAAGTGCCAAGGTTGACGTGCCATTGCCCGAATATTCCGTGTCTCACCACGAAAATATGAATTTGATAAGTTTATGTACTTTAACACTCATGGCTCTTAAATGCTTAAGTACATAGTGTAGAGTATACAATCTTATCAGATTATAATACAGAAACACTTAGATATTTGTAATACAAATTAGGATGTTTACGTTTTTACTAAATTCATAAATAAATAAGATAGAAGACGCAGAACATATAATTATAGAACGTTTTTGTGTTGCTTTATACACATTACAATATAATATAATAAATGGATAAAAATAGAAACACGCCGAAATTAAAATTAGGAGGAATAAAAAATAAACGAAAAACAAAAAATTAAATAGATATAAAAAAACCAGTGCCTAACGGATAATTATAATCAACAGCTTGTCTTTGCTGCAGCAAGACAAGTAGGTCGTGGCTTAGTGTGGAAAGTGCCTAAATGCTAAGCACTGATTTTTAACTACCACCTTCGAAGGTAGAGAGAGACAGAGAGCGACTGTTGTGGTGCATCAAAAGCAAAAACAGTGTGAAATTTGTATAGTGCTTTTACAATAATTCAAAGGACTTAACATTTTTGATAATTTCATTAATCATCTCATGACGTAATTACGATTAGGAAGAATTTGCAAATTAAGGGAACATTTTAAAAATAAATCATTGTAACGGAGAGAAAGATAGATGGCAAGTAGCTATCGAATACAAACATTTAAATGGCTATAATTCGCGCAAGTTTGGATTGAGTTCGAAACCAATCTTAAATTACATTGCTCATGGAATAGATGACTGATGGGGTCGAATAGATCCCCACTGGCGACAGCGTACCAGAATACTTAACGTGAACAGACCACCCCCAAAGTGAACCTGCTACCTGATTAATGCGAGCAGTGCAAGACCGATCGTTGTGGCAATCTTTGTGGAGGCCTATCACCAGAAGTACTTTATTCGGCTGAAATTATGTTAAAGAATCATAACCAACATTTAGAACCAAGATTGTAGATAAATTTATCTACATTACGTAATATAACTGGAAAGGTCCAACAATCAGACATTCATACTTCGGGATTTAATGCTATCGAGAACATGAAATCGAATCATGTTTTCCAAAATACCGACAACATATTGAGTGGCTAAGAAATGCATATCTGAAATTCAAATCTTTAATCGATATATTTAATCGAAATACTACCACTAGTACGAAATGGTTATCTAGGTAATACATGAAGATCAATGGTAAAGTAATGAAACGTATGACTCAATTAATGATGTACAAATATAGACGTAATAAAAAGAAGTACATTGTTAAAGAGCAAGAAACTACCATTGACCACGAGTTAACAAACTTTTAGATACGGATAACGGTACCTATTCCCAAAAACTACAATAGAAAAGGTGAATTCTCTATTGATACAATAGCTGTGACGGTCGTGACGCATCACATAGGGAACTCCCTATCAGTCGAATAACAACGTATGCGCACCGCTTACCGATTACGTATATAAACCAGCCGCGTTCGAATTTTAAATCATTCGTATTCAGCATCTGCAGCTGCGAGCACGTGTGTTTTAAGAACATTCTGATTTAAAAAATTTAATTTAAAAAAATGAAGACGTACACAGTAGTCGGCAATAAAAAGAAAGTGACCATGGAAGTCAATGGTGGCCGTTTAAAAATAGTTGGAAACAGCTGTGTGGTCAGAGTGTCGAATAATCAAGGAAATATAGAAGTGATTGGCAATGACAGCCGCGTCGAAGTGGCTGACAACTATGGTGCTATAAACTTAGTTGGCAATAATGGACTCGTGACCGTCGACAAACGTTGGAAAGGCGATAGTGTACAGATAATTGGTTCTCACGGTCATATTATCGTTAAAGGAAAGGAGAAAAGGCCTCAGTCTTTCGAATCTCAGCTGTCACCCTTCAGCAAGGAATTGGATGACGTCATCGAGAGCATCTTCACGTTTGTGATACGTTGAAAGAAACAAATGGATATCTTGGTATTTTGTGTCTGTGACAAGAACTGTTCTTCAACCACACCGAGAGTTTTTAGAAAAATGGAGGAAGAAACTTTGTTTTAATTCATAAAGGATTTTTTTTAAATTGGGTTACTGTCCCTGGAGTAAATTACGGTACTATGGTACTCGTAGTGCAGGGAATTCCTTTGTTTGAGATCAGGTAACCGGTGTCATTGATTGGCACTTTTTTAATAACGTTATTTGTTAACATTATTATACATAATTGGTAGGTATTGTAAAAGGCACGTCGTTATGTTCCCGAAGGTTTGGCCATAGGTACGTGTAGGTGGTTGTTTTATAGAAATCAAATATTTCTGTTTTTTTTGTGTTAATAAAAAAGAAATAAATACTTTGAATATTTTATTTCTCGCATTAGCCAAGTTATTCCCCGAATGATGTTGAATGATGGCGGCCTCCAATTGCTGTTGTTTTTATGTTGAACAAAAAATAAGTTGATTTTCTATTGCAACGGTTTACCTTTATCTAATGATGGCTAAGACATTGAACTCGTTAAAAGATTTTTTTGAAATAAAATATTTCAAATAAGATAGAAGAGAGAAAAGAGAGTTATATTTTTTAACTGACTTCAAAAAAAGGAGTGGGTTCTCAATTGACCTGCGTTTTCTTTGTGTATATTACTCGATTACACCGATATTAAATTTGTGAATCGACTTCGATGTTTCTTTTTTTTTGTTGGAAAGGAGGTACATACTTCGATAGTGGTCCTATTCAAAATTGAAGATTATAAATTGAAGAAATTGTTGTGCCTCTAAAGGGGGCACATCAGGGGATGAATCCTATTTATTGAATTTCACTCATTATCCGCTTACCGATTTCAATAAAATAGATGTAAAGGTGTAATGGCAAATATATGTAATTCTACAAGCTTTTAAAGTCGGCTTTTTAATAAAAATGTTGTTTTTTATTTAGTAGTTTCCTAAATATCATCTGTGATTAGAAGATTGGTGAACACTATAGGTTATTTCATTCACCATTGTCTGAATTTCAAATTGTATTGTGTAGTTTATGTATTACATATTAAATGTTATGTTTATTAAATACAGATATAACATATTTAGTTGTTTTTATTCCGCAGTCCATCCAATACTAATCCATAACCTTAACTTTACATGATATATTTTAGTGGCTACAGAGCTCCTTTCAGAGCATTTTTCGGTATTGATGGGTGCTGGTGCGATTAGGCGTTACGTTTATGGCCGCCTTCTACTGCGAAAGGGCAATGATTTTAATATAATTAGAACCTCTTGTGAAAGAGTTCGTCCAGGGTATTACTGCTACCTTACCTACTTCTGCCGCCAAGCAGTAATGTCAGTATTACTGTGTTCCGGTTTTGAAGGGTAAGGGTGCTGGTGAAATTACAGGCACAATTACAGGTACTTGTCAACTAACGTCTCAGGGTGACGGGCGCAGTGGTAGTGCCCCTCAGATCTTTGCAATTTAAAGCTCTGGCACTGTAACTGTTATGGACAGGCGTGTAATCAGGCGCACGACTTGTTCGTCCCGTCAATTGATGTTATAAAAAAAAAATGAGCGGGAAATTTCGTGCTTCCACTAGGAAAGAGTTTCACTGAAAAGAGATATTTGCCTTCCACAACCAGCGGGCTTACGGGAAAAGTAAAAATCAGTTTCAGTTTGTGCTTTGAGTGAAACTTGTAGTCTTGAAATATCACAAATCGCTTTCTTTTTGAGCACGTTACGTCCCTATACCTATATGACCAAGGATCAAGCCTTTGCGGAGTCCGCCCAAAACTAGCGCGCGACACGATGACACAGCGGATTCGTCTTAACTCGCGAGTCCGCTTCGCTCACTCGTTAGCGGTAGAAGCACTTCTAGGAAATTTACAGGTGCGAGTCAAACGCAGTCCGTACGGACTCCGCTGGAATCTTACTCAACTCTGCGACCTCTTTTGTAACACTTTCAACTCGCTCAATCCGCTTCGCTCACTCGTTTGCGGTGGAAGCACTTCTATGTTCTAGTTTACGGAGTGTAAAGCTCTGAGCGTCGTTACTTGTTTTTTTTAAATGACCTTGATGATTTGATTGATTATAGTGATGATGCCTGTTGCAAGTTTTTAGATACACCAAAAAAATTAGCATCGATCATAAAAGCCAGCAACGGTGGTTCGTTATTTTGATCCCAAGTGTATTTACAAGTAATAAGCAATGGTCTTTATAGTAAAAGAACGTGTTAGTAAAAAACAATTGAAGAATGAAATTTCGTATGTATTTTGCGCCAAAAGACATGTTATATTGATATATATAAATTAGACGTTATATATATATATATATGATGCAATTTAGACGGTGAAAACATAAACATTTTATTACCTTTCTTTAAGCACTGCGTGCTGTCGTAAGACAAAAGAGATAGCACTACATTGATTTATGTGAAATACGGGAATCGAAAATACGTAATGTCATCTTAAATGCCAAAGGTCCTCATTTTGCTACTTTTGTAGTACCCTTTGATAACCGTTTCCGGTTGACAAAGGGAAGTACATCAAATGTCAAAACCAATGTTTGACACAACATTTGTATCAAAACCAGTGTCGCCACACGCACACATTTGAAAACGTAATCTTACATTATTATAAAGTCTTCATTTGATACTCCACGAAATTACGTGTATTGTAAAATTATCCACACTGTACCTCTTCTATCTATATTTCCTTTTTTTTCATTAATATATCGTTTTTACTTAAATTGAAAATTAAAAAAAAACTATTGCGAGTGTTGGACCAAACATTTCAATAATCAAAATTGTTAGCTTTTAAATACCTGTAAACAATTTATGTTTACACATTGGTTACCTACCGCTATAACAATAAAAATGTTGAACTAAACCAAAACCGGGTTTCTAAATACAGAGTTTCTACATATCGATAATTTGATTACAACACGCGGACCCAGTACCAAGTGTAATACGACACTAGTGCAAGCAATTCATTGAGCGTCATTCGAATTGTTCTTTTGACGATGACGATGGCTAGCAACCAATGTATATTACCGAGTTGCAAAAAAATAGTTTGGTCTCGAAATTATAATATTGTATTGTGCAAAATATTAGAAAATACAGAGTTTTAGTACCGATGAAATGAAATCAATCCCGGAGTATTTTTTAAACTTTGGCTTCTTACGCGACATGATATAATGGCACATGATATAGTGGCATATTTCTATTTTTTCCACAAAATAATCAGGTATCACATTTGAACGACGACTGACGCGCTGTTGACACTCATATGCCCGTCTGGTGATAAGCTAGGTAACGCGGACCCTGCCTACTAACCAGTCTATTACTAGTATTTATGTGGTCTGTGGTTTGACAAAATGTTTTAGTGAATTATTCGCATGAATTGTAATGAAATGGACAAAAATGTTGACAGTAAGAACAATAAAGTATTGATAAAAATGCGCTGCAGCTTAAAGGGGTGCGGCAGTAGAAAATCGGAAATCAACGGACACATTTGACACATTTGGACACATGTTACATTACACCGGCATGTGTTATTTTTCTGCCTATAAATCATACAATAGCCCAAATATCTCATGTAATTAGACTCATTTAAGTAGTTTATTCATAAGTCTTGACGAATTTTGCTTTGGTTTCTTTAGATTGCTTGTTTGTTAGTATATTTTGATGATTGTTGATAACGATTATTTTGAGATAGTGTTGTTCTTATAAGCAGATATATTATCGATATTCTGTTATTAAAACCTACAAATGAAAAAAGAAAGAAAGAATGGTTGGAAATTATAGGACTGCCGAACATAAACAGTGTATCAAATACCATCTTCGTTCGTTCGTTCCATTTTGAAGTTAAATTTTAATAGAACTTTGAATGTAACTAGAGTACCTACATGATAATGCAATTCCATCGTGACATTTATTACTTAATTACTTTACATTTAATTTTGATTAAAATGCCTCATTACTTGCCTAGTAATAATAGCCTAGTATTAATCATAGTTTGATTACAGTAAACTGTACAAATTTGCAAACATAAAAAACAGTTTCAACATTCAAGCCATACATTTACATGTCGATATTGACTTATCTATAATTATGGTACAACACTAAATCCGTCATTTGTGGTGGACATTTTTGGTTTAGGTAGGTACGTTTATTCCGTAAATAGAGCAGCTCCTTTCCTTTATTTTTTCCATCCTCTAAACATGTATTAAAACCATTGACTTACAAATAAATGGACGACGGGTCTAATACAAAAACCACGAAAAAAATGTCCCAAGTCAACCTATTCGAAATTTAAATTGTTATGTCATCGCAGTATCGCGCTGTCCGTAGAACAAATGAAGACTAAAGCGGAGTGTCGCGCTCTGTATACGATTTTAGCGCCTTATAAGTGCGGACACTTTTTAGCGCGGACCCGACGTCCATATAATTGTAAGTCAATGATTAAAACATGTATTTATTGACGTTTCATAGTTCGTATAAAAATAAAAAATACAAAAGAGAAATACAAATCAATATCTTCTTATATAGGTACAAAAATCACGAATTATTAAGCACAGGTGCCTGCAACGAAGTGTAGAGCGCAATTACAAACACAACTTTATTTGGAAAATAATGCGGAAAATTTTTTAAATAATTGTGCAAACATTTACTAAAATATTTTTTTGTTTGCTGTTTTAAAATTTGTTATATTATACAAACAATTTTATCACACAATATCTGTATATTAAGAGAAATAAATTCATTTTACCCTTAAAAATTATAAAAAAGTAAGCAGAATAAAATGTCTCCTCGCTTAATTTAAGTATCATTACTTTTCAGTTTATAAATGTTTTCATATTTATTTTAAAGAATGGATGAAAGCCTTATAGCCAAAGGTGAATAAAAAGAAAAAAACTGTCTAATTCTCAAACTAGGATCTCTTGTACTGTATGTAGCTAGGTCTTCGACTGTTTCTTCTATGTATAAGTTAATGAAATAGGTAGGTATGACTATATAAAAATGTAGGATGTAGAACTCAAAAACTAAGTTGTTTATAGGGATACAGTATTGAATCAAAAGTTCCGATACTTTTAGGTATCGATACCTCTAAATTTTCCCTACTTAAAGGCAGAATAAAACACACGAATTTGTCTTTTTTTATTGATTTATGATTTTTAATTGAAACAAATAATAAAAGAATTTGATTAAGTCAATCAATTGATCAATTCAGTCAATCGTGATTTCACATAATTTGTGTTCCTTAAATTTCCAATTTCCCACTCCTCCTTCGTACAATCACTTAAAAACAAAAATCTATTTGAAGACGGTCTGTATCTCGTTTTTGATACTGTATTGCCTGCTTTTGAGAACAAATGTTCTGAAGAACGGACAAACTTCTTTTAAAGAGGCAAATGGTGGCATACAATATACAACCAAGTAAGTTGTGATAAAGGTTGCCATTAAAAAACGTTGCTAGGTGGCTTGCGCTATAATATGAGATGTCCTAAGTATATGTAGAAATTATTCGAAACGATACGATAAATTTCAAAAAGTACTAAAACAGGAAAAGTATCAAGTACAAAAGTATCGGTATCGGAGGGAAAAGTACTCGATACCAAAAAGCATCGATACTTTTTCCGTGTCCCTAGTTTAGCATTGTAACATTGTAACATTGGTACTTAAGTACATTTTAACATTGGTACTTGAGTTGCTTAATGTACTTACGTTATGGAATGCTGCTTTCTTTTAGTTTGTGCCATATGCTATTGGTTGAAGTTGGTGAATTTTAATTCCTTTGTTGTGAAAGTGCTGATCGAACAAATTTTCAAAACAGTTTTTTTCTGGTTTGACAGTATTGGTTTTGTTTAATGGAGGAACTAGTGTTTACAACAGAGTAGCTATTACCCATGAAACTTTGATTTTATCGCTTTT